TGCTAGCTACTGTAGTGAAGACTCCTGTCATTTATTGCATCTCTGCGTGAATGATTAGATCATTTCACCTAAATCAAATGAAATGATGTTGATGGTCAAATTAGCTTCACATGTAGGTCTACTGAGTTCTGAACTTTCCATTTCGATCTATAAAGGCCTTGGGGCTATGTTGTTGATTTAATTAAACACAATATATGCACTCCACTATGCTGTTGTAGTATTTACTGTATCTGAAGCTCTTAATATGATTGCTCATATTTCAAGCCATCTTTTTCCCGGATCATTTTCATCAACCAGCCCCATTCCAAACTAATTGAATAGCCCTGCATTAATGCAGCCTTAGCCGCAACACACACAACACAAGACATTCATGTTTTAGATATACTGCTATTTAGATAAATCAGGTATGTGTTTATACTGCAGGGCAAACTTTCATAAAGAAAAATCTGCCGACAATATGATGTAAAAAAATATTAACAAATGGAGGAGGCTCTTATACTTTTGGAATTACGTTCACATGTAATATAACTATATATTGATTATTAGTATTTGGCCCTGTTTTAATTAGACTGACAAAGATGGTACATTTGTCTCCAAACTCTGTTTTTTTTATTGAATTTAAAGGAATAATAAGGGAAACTGCATTGTGTGTGTGTGTTCGTTCCACTAGACAGCTGTAATTATAAAACTGGCTGATTTCCTTTTGTTAAGCATCTAAAGAGTGAACGTCACAAGGATTTCTCCAAGAGCGATGAGTACCTGGTGGTGGACCAACTGGTGTCAACCCTGCACTTCAACTTCCTCCACATCAAATCTCAGGTTAAAAGGTAATATGATCAAACTTCCCCCTATATAATGTTCACACGATTATAAAAAGTCAATGTGTTTTTGATAGACCTTTTGTCTTTCTATTCACTCTACTCATGGAAACTTGTCTTTGATTCCTTTCAGACTGAAGTGCAGTGTTTCCTCTGTTCTCTTTGTTCCCGAACCCTGTGGGAAAACTGCTCTGAGACACGAGACGGATCTGGATCCCACAGAGATTATTAAAGGAGAGCAGCATCAGACTGCTGATGGCCACATGGGATCTTACTCGGGACACACCTTAAAAATCAGTTCAGTTACGGATTCTGCTCCTCTGAATCACATTGAGGGGGAGAGGAGGAACAATCACTCAAACTCGGACAGATCAAAGCGCAAATCTCTTGCACGTAAACGGCCGTGCCGACAGAACTCTTTGACTTCTCGCACCCAAAAAGCAGAGCAGACTCTGAATGATCAGCAGAATATGGAAACGGCGCCCTCTGGAGGTGAATTTCTTCGCTCCAGAGAGACTCAGGACAACAAGGAGCACCAAACAATATCTCCACGCATGAACAGCTCTCCCTCTCACCTCCATGATGTGAACACTCATCAGCTAGAGGAGTCTGATGAGAAGCAGGACTCCTCGGTGTGTGAGGCTGCTCAGGAAGGAAACGTTCTGCCCGACCAAAAGACTGGAAACAACCTTTCGGAAAGGGAAGGAGTGAGCCTTCCTTCAGCAAGTCTCGCTCCTGTCATACAGAGGAGGGTGAGAGTTTATAAACGCAAAAGACGGAAAATGAGCACACACGATGAAAGTGCGAAGCCGAGTGACATCCCCAACAAATCCCTGCTGAGACTTTTTCAGTCGAGTGATGACATGGAAGTAGAGTTTCTGGGGTTTGAGGACTAGGGAGAAAGGAATCGAAGGGATGAACTGGACTATTACTGCCTTTTTAAAATACTTGAAGGATACCATGTTCTGTGTTGTGAACCATATAAAACACTATATTCTCTCCACAGGAATCTCAGTAGGCAGATTGATCTCATTTTGTTTTATATCAGATGTAAGGCAGCTGTGGATGTGCTGTGTTTTTTTTCACAGCATTGAGTGTTTTTCTAAAAACTTAAATGTGGTTAGCAGCATTCAAGGACATTCTATTCACTTTAAAATGACAGGTTTTTCTTGTGCTGTTTTTAAACCAGATTTGGAGTTTTAAATTCTAAACTGAACACAATGAACAGTCTAAGTAGACTCGAAGTTAAAGTAATCAAAACTGAAATATTGTCTTTATAGTCATATTTGTCAAAACATTTAGTTAAATTAACAAAATAATATTTTGATATCCAGTCACAACCCTTTTCAAACGATCCTCATCAAATATATTGTCAAATTTTATATAAATATTTTGTTAGAAAAAACAATAATAACTAATTGCTTTAACCTGAATTCAAACTCTTAATCTACTTTGTGAAGAAAAATAGGTTGTAATAATACGCAAATCCATTGTACTACATTGAAATATCCACTAATTGCCCACATGGTCTAATTTGGTTAAATCATAAAACATTATCATTTGTTCACGTTCTTGACGGTATGTCAATATATTTAATTTTAGAAATGCATAGCAAATTTGGGCCTAAACATTAGTCCACAGTCGTTTATACATACTAGTTTCAGGTAGATACATTCTTCTAGATGCTATGAAATGAAATGCCACCTGAAGACTGCTCTGAAGAACAGGAAAAAGGCCCTAACACTTTAAAGTCCCATGGCAACATTACAGAGGCCTTGCGTTGTGATTTGTGATTTGTGTAAAAAAGAGTGTATGTAATAAACTATTAGTGAATAGTTTATTTCCATAGTTTACAGTCCCTACTTGCAGTTGTTTCCCATAAATACTTTTCATAAAAATGTAGCATTTTGTGAAAGAGGCAGCTTAAATTAAAAATAATATCCCCAATAACCTGAACAAAGGTAGTCTTGAATCTTCTCAGATATGCCGAACTGATCGTATTATGTATTTGAAATGCATATAATTGTTGCATAATGTATTTGAATGTCTCGTAGGTTGGATGTGTGGTGCTTGACATTATATATGACATTTTAGGATTATTCCTAAGTGCAATTTTCATGACCTGCCTTGTGCTTTTCTGATGCATTAGCTGGACCAGCCTCTCTCTGCCCTGCAGTTAGTGCATTAGCATAGAGCCCTGTTCTCCCTTATATCTCTCTAAGTGATGCTCTGGGTCAGATGGGAGTCTCTGCCACTGACATTAAGAAAGACCTGAGCAGCAATGTTCGGAGGCGTACAGTAAGTACAGCTGCAAATAAAAGTACTAAAGCAACACTGAATGCAGACATTATTGTCATTTGTTTCTCATACATATTCTGAACTACTGAAAATGCTTTTATGGTCATACAACATGGTACACAACCTGTCAACTGCTCATCAGGTGCATCCATGAACAGTTATATTTTGCAGGGTTAAAGGGGCTTGAGTTTATACGCATAAACTGTTTTTATTATACGGTGGCATGGGTCCGGGGATACTTTTTTTGTGGTTCTGTGTCACATCAGAATTAATGAACGCTGTTGTAGGTCTTGTTTTAAAGTGACACAGTATGTTGTTGATGCTCCCATGTGTCAACAGTTTAAATGTTTTGTAGATTGAAGGATTGAGAAGCCTTCCTAAATAGCTTTTCATAAACATGTTTGGCCCAACTGGAACATATGAATCCACAAAAACAAAATTGCCACACAAACACACATGTTCTTGTTATTCATAGATGCACATGATAGAGTGACTCATGACAACAACAGGCAGGTTGGGGCAGGAATGGCGCTCCTGCAGATCTTTAACATGGAGGAAGGTGCAGGAGGCGGACGATGATCATCCCGGAAGGCCGGGCCCGCAGCTTTTCTCCATCCTGTCTCCACTGCTCGCTCATATTTATGCATTAGGCGTTTCTGCAGTGAGCCGTTGGATATTGATGTGTTTTAAGGAGGTGTCCCTAGTCCTCCCCTCCCCTGCACCCTCCCCTCTCCTCCCTCTCTGCTCCGTGCTGCTGCTTCGCGGGTCGTCGGTGCGCTCAGACGCGCTCCGCGTTCAGACTTGTAAGGACCCCGATGGCCCCCAACCAGAGGGACTGCGCTAACCAGACGACCAGCCCCAGCTTCAAGCTCCCCTAGCGAAGGCAGGACTCTGAGAGCCTGCTCCCGGAATACCGCATTGTTTTATAATTTCCAGCAGGAGAGTGAAAGGTGATGGTGCTGATGATGCGCCCGCGATGGTGGATTTCCCTTTTGTGCGTCTGTGGATTGATGCACGTCGGCCACCAGAGCAACCCTGATGCCCAAAATGGTAACTGATGCCTTTTCAAATATTATTACATCAACACATCGTGCTTTTAAAAGCCTTAAATTACCATCCACAGGCCTTTGTTTGTTTTTGTGTAGCTTCGGCTAGTTCATGGTTTCCCTCTAAAATATGCATTTTGCCTGCTGCTTCTTGTTATCAAAGGAAAAATGGACCAGTCGACATTTCAGATGGCGGTGTTTATGATGAACGTGCCTCTGTTTCCCGCACGGAGGGACAGGCGGGTAATGACATCTGTTTTCCTCTCTGTGCAGGAGACGCCTTGTCGAGCTTGAAGGCTCTTCGTGATGCTGGCAGGTTTGTGGGAAAGGAGGACACGGTGCCTCTCCGCCTGCTCTACAGCAGGCACAACCACAGCCAGATCACAGAGGATGAGCTCAGCACCAGGGTGAAAGCCAGCTCCGGCTCCAGCCAGGTACAGTGTTTTGTTGTCCGGATGGAGGTGTGTGTGTGTGTGTGTGTGTGTGTGTGTGTGTGTGTGTGTGTGTGTGTGTGTGTGTGTGTGTGTGTGTGTGTGTGTGTGTGTGTGTGTGTGTGTGTGTTGCTCTCTGCTGCCTCCGTGTTTATGTTTGTTTCTCCTCCTCTACCCTTGTTCTCAGAGGGTAAAACTAATAATTAGTCAATTACAAGCAAAACAGCAGAAGCTTGAAACAATTAAGCCTTTCTAATTAGACTGTGCAGGGTCATCACTCTGCCTTTCAATGGATATACAATATTTAGCTTATTGATTTCTCAACAAATGTTTCTCTATTCACACTGTACATTTAGGCATGTACGAAATCTGCTTTCGTCATCTGGCCAACAGGATAATTCATAATTTAGTGATAACTTGCATCATGTGTGTCCAGCTGGGTTGCTGCATGCAGGAGCTGCCTCACCTGCATCAGCTCACATAAAGCAACATTTTATTTTGTATTTTAGTCAATTCATGCAAGTCGAGTTAAGTGGAAGGGATTATATATTATCAAGAGATCATCCATCGATGTGAACGGCCCATGTACAACACGATTACACTTGAGAAATGTCTTTGAGAGTCCCGCTTTCACAATGCAGGTGTAGAGAGGGCTGAGAGGAAAACCTTAAGGCAGGAATTGCAGTGGCCTCCCCTGCCAACTGATTAGAAGGGCGTTAAGAATATTTATACTCTTTTTCCAGCATTTGTCTGGTCAGGGCGAATACCAGTAGTTGATATTTTTAGGCATTTTAAACCCATGAAATGCCAATTTAAAACAAAGGTTTTTATGGACGTGTTTCATCACAGTCAAAATCTTAATGGTCATAACACGGTTAAGTGCATTATCTTTTTAATAACCACATTTAAGGAACACATTTTTGTTATATGTTAAAGAACGGTACCGCTAAATGCAGTATCCGTTTTGATTTAGCTCTCAAATATCTACATTCTTCTAAAAAAAACAATAAAATGTTGGCTATACTAGCTCAACATCTGAATATTTACAGTGATATCTCTAGAAAGTATGTTCTAAAGTAGGATTGATAACCAAGATGATTTGATAATAGTTGTATAGGTATGTTTACAGTTCTTTAGTTAACACTACCACTGTAGTCTTATTGGCTTGGGGTAAACTTTGTTTTGCAGTAAGTTTGGACAATAAAACCCACAAACCATTATGTTACAACATGATGCAGAGAGCTGTTAGTGATTATCCAAACCCAATGTTAGCAACAAGATAGTTTGACAGGAAACCTTACATTCCGCCTTGTCTTTAATAACCAATGCAGTGATAATCCATATCACTGTAGCAGTGTTCACTGACTCAGTTCAGTGAAGCAGCGTGTCTGTTGGGTTCATTTCAAGAGACGAGTCAATTAGCATTGTGCAAACCTTCCATGCGTTTTTAATTTGTGCAGCTTAGGTTTGCTAGCCTATTCAGGGCCCAGAGATTGGAGAAGGCTACTGATGGTAGCATGCAGGGAGGTGTTAACCCTTTGTCCCTCTCACACCTCAGAGCTGCAGCCCGATGGGTAAACATGCTAACAGCAGCCATCTGCCCTCAGATATCATGTTAGTGTTTTCCTTTGACGCTGATGCTAATCTCCATCCTAAGATTAATACATAGTTTGTGCAGGGCAAAGGAACATTTTCAACTTTCTACAAAGATTCTTAAGAAGATTTGCTAAAATCATGCTTAAAATATAATATTGTCACGAGTCAAGTACCTTCTTAGGAGCCTATCTAGACACGCATTTACTTTTTGAGTTGACACCTTTAAGATGTGTTTATTTAGCTTAAAGATGTATTGTCAGCCCATGGTTATTAATTAAAATAACAGATAATAGGTAATGGTTGTAAAGTTCTTAATTAGTGGTTTAATATATATTTTGTAATAAATTCAGGGTAGAACAGGACACGTGCCTCTCTCATTTGATATTTGATGTTCTGAGTCTCTTATTCTCCAGAGGCTTGAATCTGGTCTGCAATCAGCCGTGATGTCATAAGCACGTTGCAAGTTTGATAGATATTTGGCTGTTTTTAGACCAACAGTCTAAAAACAAATCTGTCAAATAGTTCTGAAAATATGTGACACACAGAAGTTTATAATTAGACTTCAGTTATATTGCCTATTTTCAGTCTCAGACACAAACAGCTTCACCACTGAGTGAGCCGTGGAGAGTTCAGCAGAGTGCTCATGTTGTTTTGGTGGAAAAACAAAAGCTTCCAGTGGAATCAGTGTGTGTTGGTTTGCATGTTTGCCTCTTTGTCTGGGCGCAGTGCGTTTATAGCACTTACAGTCATACTTCGACAGTCATGAGTGGAAAGTCTGCTATAACTCAGAAATCAAGAGTCAGCGGTGGCTTCAGACTATCGGCTCGGCTCAGTGAAGCTGGGATGTGCTTTCATTAAACACAATTACTGGTACCTCCCCCCATCACGGATCCAAACCTGCCAGATAAGATTTCATCGCAAGTGTGCCATGGAAAGGGATTGCCCTTTGAACGCACTCACACACACACCCACACACCCTCTTAGCCGCTCATATATGCATTGACCACGCGCAGACACACGCCTTCAAACAATGGTCTCTGGTCAATGGGGACTTCACGGGCTGAGGTCGTGCTTGGGTGAGCACAAGGGCACCTCCTGAATAAATTTGAAAAAAAAGAACCCGACACACCCCTCCTCCCATCGCTGTCATGGGGTGTCCGGTCTGTTGATGAAGGTAGCCGGGGGGGCGAGTCTGGGGGAGGGTGAGGCGAGTTTTAGCCCAGCTCGGGGACTCCCCTAGACCTGCAGAGGAATGATTGGGTCGAGTTCTCATTGACCCGAGGGTTTGTAATAAAGCCTGTCCCATATGTGCCCAGAAGACCCCCCTCCAGCCAAATCAATCACACACAGCAGTCAGCTGAATTATATGGTTCAGTATGGGATGAGGAATATCAATGAGTCCTTGGCGTTGTGAAACATACAAACTCACTCTGGTAAACATAGAAATGACGTGTCATCGAGGTATAATAATATGTACGTTTTTAATTATGAGTCATAGTGTGAGATGATATTACATAAAAAGCACTTGCATGAGATCCTTTGCAGAAATTCAAATTCAGTAGAAGACAGATGTTGATGGCTTAATATAAACAGTCTTCCTACTGCTGATTGGTTCTGAAAGAGACAATGCAGCCATCCATCAATGGAGAGGAGAATTGATCCTTGCATATGATAATGAATAAAGCCATGAATATGATAATGTCAGCCTCTAGTTATAGTAAATAACATGTCTTCTCTGCTTTTCCTAGGTGAACCATGTGGCCCAAGCAAGCTTTCAAGTGGACGCTTTCGGCAGAAAATTCATCTTGGATGTGGAATTGAACCAGTGAGTCACAGTTATTATATAATTACATATGTCCACCTGAATAGGAATCCATCTACAAAAAGAATGTCTGTCTTTGCAGAGGTATTGTAAGCTTTCATTTGCATTTAACTTTTTTTAAATAGTGTGTCTTGGCTGACACTCAATATTGTTTTTAAGGCAAACAAAGGTGGCATGGTTTTAATATCAAAAATGTTCTTTAAATATGACTTGCTTGCAAAACTTGCTCCTGTTTAGTGTAAATGATCTTGAGCACATTTTGTGCATCAATCGAGTGCTGACTCCAGTATTTCACCTGAATCGTTCATCGTGGTTCTGCGGGTCATATTTTCCTGCTCTCTGAGGGAAGTGTATTGCCTGTGTTTGGGAATGCACTCTTAAGACATTAATATCTAATGCCGGTGTGTGCTGTGTGTGAATCAATGTATCTGTGTGAATATGTGTGCGTGTGTTTGCAGCAGGTCAGTTATTGTGTGCGTGTGTGATTTAGAGGTTCCATCATAATAGGAAGTGATTTACGGTAAAGGCCGGAGCGCTGCCCTGTCAGACACTGATATTGATCACAGTACTGCTGATGGAAAGCGAGGAACTCTCTTCTTATTTCACCTCTTCCTCTCACTAAGCCTCTCCCTCTCTTTTTGCCTCGACCTCATACACTTTCATACAATTGAACCCTTTGGCATCTATATCTAAACTTTTCTGTGATTGTTTTTTCGGTTTTCCACCATCTCTCCTTGAGACCAGGGCTTGTTTGTCTCATTTAGCCCCAAAACAGGAAGTCTGTAAACACACAAACATTGATGCTGCCTGCTCCTCACAGCAGAAGTCACTCCCCCACAGAGAGAGCCGTTACATCACAGGAGTTCCCACGTTTGGAGGAAATGTTTCTGAGAAGCCTGCAGCTCACTGTGTGACGCATCAACCGGTTATGGATAGCAAAATCTGTCGTTCACACATTGACAAATGCGCACACACATACATGTATGCACAAGCTTCTGCACATGCACTTTCATTAGCACATGGCTCGGTGCTGAGTCATTATTCATGCAGGTGACCTTGCCTGCTTACAGCTTCTTTGTAAATCTAATCTTTACCTGGTGTGGTGCAGAAAGTCCATCAGAAAGATGACCTAAAAAAGACAATTGGGAAAAATCCTTTGCTTAACTTTCCACAGAGTGAGGTAGCCTCCATGCAGACAGCTCCGGGGGACAGTTTGACACGTGTGGCTCTGAATAAGAATGAGATCAGCGCTGTGGAGCTTGGATTGGAAATCTTTACTTTTCTCTTTTTCAAACAAAAACAACAAACATTTCCTAGCTCCAGTTTCTCCTGTGAGGATTTGCAGTTGTTTGTGTTTTATCCGATCATATACTGAATGTTTTTAGAGATTTGGAATATTGGTTGGGAAAACAAGATGGGTGTATGAAGGCATATTTAATACTTTTGGGTTTTAAAGTGTTGTTGTAAATCAATCAATCAATAAATAAATAAATCAATCAATCAATCAATCTGATCTGAACCGGAGTGGTGGTTTGTTACTGGACTTCTGTGCTAGTCATGGATTGGCCATAACAAACACCATGTTCGAACATAAGGATGCTCATAAGTGTACGTGGTACCAGAGCACCCTAGGCAGAAGGTCCATGATCGATTTTGTTATCGTATCATCGGACCTGAGGCCGTATGTTTTGGACACTCGGGTAAAG